AGTGGAGCACTTATCAAAGACAACTATGTTGTTACAAGTGCCAGTTGTCTAATGGACGAAACTGGACTATTTCCTGCTGACAAATACTATGTTTTACTTGATTTCGTAAATTCCTCAGGCACAACATCTCCCATTGTAGTTACAACAACACAACGTATAACTCACGAAAAATTTCAGGGACTGTAAGACAATCACCATTACTTTTATATGTTATTTTAAACTAATGAAGGTGTAGAAAAGAAATTGTTATTTCAGTGGTATCCAGACACTAGAAAAGCATAACATCGCATTATTAAGGTTAGAACGAAAAGTTGAACTCAACCAATACGTTAACATAGTAGATCTACCTGATTTAAATGACACTTTTAACAAAACGTCAAAAGGTGTTCTGACCCGTTATCAGCAATACATGCGATCATATTCCGATTTTTATGTCACACTGACCTTTTCTTCATCTAATGTCACAACAAGTAGTATATGTGAAAGAAATATAAAAAAGTACTTTATAAAACCCAAGGTGTTATCACAATTTTGTATCAACCATATTCTACATGGAAAAAATCTTAAAGTAAAAATTAAAAGTGTTTTTATATTATGGCACATCCGTTTGGGAAGTTCACTAATAATTCTTTGTATTCCGCAGTTTCAGTCTAGCGGCATTTTTGTTCAAAGTGAGGGTAACAAGACTGTTCTCACTGGACTTGCTGTTGGGAACAGTATGTCGAATAACATTTTTACTAACGTATCATTATATGTAAATTGGATAAAACGCAACACAAAAAACAGTTTAGTTACTATGCATAGGAAGATTTATTATAACTTTGGTAAGTCCGGATTGTGTTATTATGTGTTTTGTTTATTCAATTTTTAATATTATTTTTAACATTTAATAAGAATTTGAAAATTAACTGACCCTTATCTTTTACTCAACGTTATTGAGAAAAATCTCAAAAAATTTGCTTACTAACTTCTGAATAAATTCATTGAAGTATAAAAAAGTTGCACTTGGGTCAGTTCAAAGTAACTTCGAGCGACTAAAGTTTGATATGGAGGAAGTGATTAGGGTATCTGCTATTAACCAATTTAGATTTTTTCATTATACACCAAAAAAATTTTTTAATTTGCGAGTTAACACGTGCCCCCAGACACAAAATGATTTTCTATTTAAATAACATATAGGATTTTTTAATTTCAACTTTGTTTAATTTTCTTGGAAATTTCAAGTATTTTTTTTTGGATTTTTAAATAATATCATTTTATTTCGTATAACTTGGACTTTATAAGTCAATTTTTTCTAGTTCAAAATGAGCAAGTTAAAAAAATTCGATTTTCTTGATTTTTTGTTCTACAATCTAATTTTTTTTTAATTTGCTCATTTTGAACTGGAAAAAATTGACTACAAAAAAAATTGATCCAAAAAAAAAAATTCTTGTAGTTTCAAAAAAAATTCAACAAAGTTGAAATTAAAAAATCCTACGTTATTTAAATAGGAAATCGAAATGGGTCTAGGAGCACGTGTTAACTCAAATATTTCTGGCTGTTTGAGGTATATATTTTTTTTTAGTATATAACAAATACTTTTTAAAGACCGGATGATCAAAAAGTTAAATTTGGTAAATAATAGATACCCTAATGTGTATTCACGCATATTTAGAGGACCTTTAGAACAGTACATGTTGAAAATTGAGCTTGGGTGGTTGTCTTCAGAAATCGTAACTAAATACACACTCGACACCAAATTTGAGCTTCTTAAAGTCCATTTAAGAGTTACTGTTTTTTATCCTCGATTACATTTAATATAATTTTTTTTAAAAAGCATTTCTGTATAGTTAAGCAAAAAAACGCACAGTAACAACTTACGCTAAAAGAACATAAGCAGTGTCATCTTCTGCTATTTTCATACTCAATTTCACACTCAGCAACATGACTACTTTACTGAATAATTTTATAAAATTTATTAGTATACTATGAAATAGTAAAATTTCAACTCAACATAATGAAAGTTCTAGTGAGTTAAAAATTATCATCAGCTGTAGTTTTTAATTTTGGATTCAAAAATAGACGACCTAAGTTAGTGATATGTAAAGAAATTCGTTAGTCATAAAATCAATGTTACTTTTTTTCAAACTTGACATCAGCTTTATATTATTAACTGTGACAGTAATTAATTATTATTACATACACAAATAAATTTCATATCCTTAATTACTACAATGTTAATTAATGATTAAAATTATAATTTTAAGTTATCGTCATAGTAATTAAGAATTGGAGTTTTGCCATAAATAATGAATTTAAAATCAAACTATGTCTACTACTTTTAACTATTACATACCAAATTTAGTTTTTTATGCCTGCCTGGTGATTGTTGTTTGCTTTTTTATTTTCATTTAAATTGAACTAATCAAAACTATTGTATGAATATTCTTAAATTTCGTTTTTCTGATTTCTTATGTATCAATTCTAGCAGCATTTAAAAACCTCAAATAAATTAAAAAATTATGAAGTTAAAAAAAAATTTTAAGAAACAAACGGTGAATTGGAACTTATTCAATTGAAACCTTATGCAATCCTAATGTGACCATATGGAAAAATTAAAAGTGAATATTATTATTTGTAGGAAAATCTTTCCCCATTGATGAAAACTTCGCTAAAAGAGGACAGTTTCCATACCACGTAGCTATATTGAAATTAAAAACTTTTAAAAAAGATTTCTCATGTAGTGGTGCACTTATTAAAGAAAATTATATCATCACAAGTGCCGGATGTGTATCTGATTTTTCGTTCATTTATCACGCTACATTTGGCCTGGTGGATTCTTATGATGTTACATCTACGATTACAATTGCCATAGTTAATTCTATTTTCCGCGAAGAAAATTAAATAGAATAACAAAAAAGCCATAAAATAAAGGAAAAAAATGAACGAAAATTAAAGAAAAAAAAGTTGTGAAATGAAATATAAAAAAAATGAAATGAAATCAAAAAAGACATGAAAAAATACAATGGAAAAAAAAAAGGAAATGAAATAGAAAAAAATTAATCAAAAAAATAAAAAATAAAGTAAAGGAAGTTTAAAAAAAAAACAAATTAAAAGAAACAAACCAGGGGGTATAAATGGGTCATATGACCCACGGCAAGAATGAAGTTCTTTAAACATGAGATGAGTATAAAGACACACAATTTCTCAGATAACAAGGGGGTCGCCAGACCCATAGGAAGAACGAAGCTCTATAAAAATAAGTACTGCATTCATGTAGTTCACTATAACAAAAACTTAAAAAACGAATAATAAAAAAATAAGAAAATTTAGTTCGACGTACTCACGATAGTTGAACTTCGTGAGTACGTCGTACATGAATACAGTACTCACGAAGTTCAACTATCATGAGTACTGAAATAAATTTTATTATATTTTTTATTATTCGTTTTTTAAGTTTTTGTTTTAGTGAACTACATGAATGCAGTACTTATTTTTATAGAGCTTCGTTCTTCCTATGGGTCTGGCGACCCCCTTGTTACCTGAGAAATTGTGTGTCTTTGTACTCATGTCATGTTTAAAGAACTTCATTCTTGCCGTGGGTCATATGACCCATTTATACCCCCTGGTTCGTTTTTTGATTAATCATCAATCAAAGAGTAAGAATGTAGTAGATTTGATAAAACTATGACTGTAGTTTTGTTTGAAACAAGGAACTGCTGCAAATTTATTGTGATAATTTTTTTGATTTTTTTTGCTGACTCAATCAACTCCACATTAAATATAAAGTTTTAATCAAACCATTATAAATAATAAAATTTTGAAATACTGTATAGTATAAGTTGAGTTTATCTCACACTATTTCCATTTATTTACTTAGCAAGTTTTATTTTACTATTGCTATTATTTGTTTTTTTTCAAAAGGTGTTTACAGATCAGACTACACTTTGAAAAATCTGTAAAAGATAACGATGTAACGGTCTTAATTTTTCCAAATGAATGATCAAACGAAGAATTCAAATTATTATCTTTTTCTATTACTGGAACCTTTTTTAAATCTCCTTCTAAATAAGAGTATTTGTTCATGTTAGCGTACACATCGAGACACTCCATTGTTAGTTAAAATACTAGAATATTAATTCGATACAAACTATTTTTAATTGTTTCGATTACAGTTAGTGATAGTTGATTTAATGTGCAGTGAACGACGAACAATATTTGTAGTATCACAATTTTATGCAATTTGCACCCGGTCTGTTAAGAGTTAGGTTTCATGGCGAGTAAATGTTACTCAGGTAGATAAAGACAGCGGCGCAGTTTCTAGGCTGTCGTGTAATCAAATTTTTGTCAGCTACGGCATTAGCAAATGTCATTTGATTTGCGTTAGGGTTCAACTTTTACGGTGGTTCCTCCGAGCCACCTGAGATCATAAATGGTACAAGAGTCCTTGCTCGACATGTCGAGATTTACAATGACCAGAAACCAAAGCCGATTTCTCTCGGACATACTATGCACGTAGTGAGCTGAGAAAGCCCTTTCCTGAATCATGCCCAGGACTTTTTCTGCGTAGACGATCTTGACGACTCCACAAATGATACCATATCACGATGCTGGACGGTGAGCTCGACTTTTTTCTCGTTCCGATCCCAGACGATCTATCCGGGCCTGATTTATTTCGGGCCAGAGTTTTTGATCCAAAATCGTGAGTAGGGAGGGGGTGGGATCTTAAGTGTAAAGCAAATGTATGTTAGTGAAACATTCTGCTAGTTTCATTTTCACTGCAGTCTTATCCTTAAAATTGCAAAACTAGATCTCTAGAGCCATACAATTTTAATATTTATGGACATTTAGTGGAATTTATGGTTTTACATTTTGGTTTTAGATTGTTAAAAAATGTTTTTTCAGTAATGATTTGCCAAGCTGTATATATTGTTTGGTTTCAAAAGTATACATAACATAAAACACATTTATGATCAATGCATTAACAAAGACAAGTCTTTTATAATGTTCATTTGAGATGTTTAAGCGTGTGCAGTGTCTGCTAGCCAAATATCCGATGTGCAATCTCCTCCAGGATATCTAAAGCATAAGACAAAGTTTAAACGATGAGTTGAATTTTCGAATTTTTAATTTAATTACGAAGTAAAAACGTGTTTGGCAACCTCATTTCATGAGCCATCAAAATGTCGTTTTTATCAGTGCCAAATTCGATCAAGAAATTTGTATCGAGTTTCATTCCTCCGTTCTTAACATCTATATCGAATTTCATCATAACGGAGCCAACCCTTAAAGAAAAAGATGGCGAAATACTCTTATTAACATCAGAATTTTACTTTACTAAAAAAAATAAATTTTAATATAAACTTAGTCATCATCGTACTTCATATGTTCTGGATAGAACTGCTTGTCCCAGGGTTTGAAAATCGACGTTGTCACGTACAATCGTTTGCCATCCAAACTAAGTTGAAGCATCTGAGGTGCGCCATCAAGTTTACGACCCTTAATAAATACTGGCTTAGGTTGTTCGCTCAGTTCTTTGTCCTCGATAACTCGTACTTGAGAGTCAGATAGGCAAGAGCCACCCACAAACACTTGTCCAGTGAGTTTTGGATTTGCTCTGTCGGTTATATCGTACTGGCGTACGTCACCATGAAGCCAGTTTGAAAAATACAAATATTTGTCGTCCAAACTTATGATGATGTCAGTCACCAAACCTAATGGATGAGAATGGAATTGTATGTATACGCTTTTAGTAAATGTTTGACTGTCTGTTTGTATGTTTACGGCAAATAAGCGGAATATCGTAATCTATTTTTTGCGTACTTTTAGATTAGATAAATGATTTTTTCTGTTTTCTGTTCGTGATAATTTAATGTAGGATTAACACCATGAATTAATTTTCTTTCTTTTAAGTACGTTTTGAAAATTATAAATGATAGATTTTAAAACACAATCAAGGTAAAGCTGCTTTAATTTATCTTTTAATAAACGATTCATCTTATCTTATCGTTACTGAATGTTGTAGTCGAGGAGTTCTTAAATTACTAGTCAAATATACTGTGTACCATTTTAGTTCAGTTTTAGATAAATTTTTTAGTTTAATAGTTCAGAAACAGAAATACTATACTTTTTTTTCGAACCAAAAATCAGAAACGTATTTCTTATCATACGCATGAATAACAAAAGCAAAAGACTCCAGCAGTAATGTAGATCGTCAAAAATTAATAGTTCAGTTATTCGATTTTATACATCGTGCATAAGATAAATCAAACTATTTCTTGCCTTTTAGTTAACAAAAAAGGCATATTTTTATAATTTTTCCACTTTTTTTTTTTGTAACGATGTACGAACAAATTGCGATAAGTAAAGGTAAGCCGAAGTATTTTCCTATTTTAGTGTTAGAAAATAACTTATCAGATATTGTGAATTAAATTTCTTTTGAAAATGAAGATATTAGAAACCATCAACAAAATACTAAATATATAACATAATAAACAAACAATACTCAAGTTTCGTTAACAAATCTGAATTTTTGGTTGTGAAAATATACATTTCGTATTTATTATTATTACCAGGCATGTCAGGTAACATCCATCCTTCGACCTTCTTAGATGGTACTTTGATGACCTGATCTGCGGCCCAGCTGCCATCCTTTTTGTAAAATCGGTAAACTGTCGAACTTAATGCGCAACCAACGTATCCCTCGCAGCTCAGAGGGTCGTGAAGAAAACGAACTTCAAATGGAGTTATGCCATCTTTCCCCAAGTTGATGGTCTGTTGAAGTGTTTTATCCTTCCATGAGTAAAAGTTCAAGCTTCGTCCGTAAACCTCTGCGGAAGCAATGTTTAACTATTAGTGATTCTTTTGCCATTTGTTTTATTCTAGTATGTACTAAACATTACTTCAATTAGGATACAGTAAAACTATTTTTAGACAGTCTTTTTTTGCAAAACCGTTTTTCTAAATAAAATTTTGAAGTACTCGTTAATTACTCAGTATATAGAAAGGTCTCGAAAGAATTAATTATAGGAGCTAAGATAGAAGAGCTTGAGTATACTTTTAACAGGGGGTAAGCAGTAACATGCAAGTTTTGCTGGGAGTATGAGCTTTATGATCAATATTTTTTGTTTAAAATAATTTCTATAAAATGTCGCATAGGCTTATCACTGTTAATGTTCTGCGAGACAATCGACTGAATGTGTATTTACGATTGATTTTTTTTATATTAGGTAAAAAATTGACTTTATGAAATTCTTGATTTTACGTGCAAACGTTGTTACTTTATAATTTTTAGTTGTGTGTTTAGTTGCAAAATATACTTATTGAGAGTATGAATTTTGTAAAAAATTATATTATGAAACATAATTAATATCCTGAGTTTTATGTTAGGATTAAAAATTAAGTTACGGGGTTGGTTAAAACAATTTTTCGGCCCTAATTGTATCATCTTCAAACCTACTTAGGTTTAAATTTCTCAAAAATTTGTACCTGTTGGTCATGATTCTATACGACATTTTTTTATTCTACAATAATAAATTATAAGAGAAAGTTGGAAAGGGTGGCTCGCAGTCCAGAAATATAGCTTAACAATACAGTCAAAGTTTTAAAAGATAAGTATACTGTTTAAAAAATTGGTTTAAATTACTTTATGACACGACTGCAATTAGCTCTAAGAATGGGAACAACTATTTTCTTTTTACATGTCTGGTGTAAAGACATTAATAATAACTTGAATTTTTTTTCTTTTTGGTATGATTCATAAATTTTTAAGTTGTTGACAGATGCTTTTTTAGTAGTAAAACAGCAGATGGTTAATTATACCTGTTTTCCCTAAAAATTGTTAAAACAGCTCCTACCTCTACTATTTAGTCATGACTGACTGTTACTGGTATATTTGCAGCCGTTCTATTATTTTTATTTTATTTAATGCAATTAGTCCAGTATTACCGAAACGACTTCACGTGTAATAGTTCACTTTCATGCAGAACTTGACTATCTTTAAACCCTACTGATGATGGTTCCAGTATGTCCGTATTAGTCCGGGTGCCAGGGGGGTTCCCGTAGCCTTTTGAGGTCTAGGATTCCACCAAAGTTTTTTTATGTAGTTTTATATCCTGAATTAGAATTTCGAGGGTGGAACCTCGAAAAACCACGCAAAAAAGAATTATTAACAATTTTTATAAGCAATTTTTAAAATTACATTTTTTCGATTGAAACATTTTTTTTTCTTATTCTTTGACGCATTTTAAACAAAAAACCAATTGGGATGTATATATCCAAACCCCATAGAATTTGAGTTAAAAATTTCCAGAGTTTTTTTCATATTTCAACAGCCTGTTAAACAATAACTATTTATTTTTTTGACTCTCACAAGAGCTCAAAATATTCGTCAAAAATTGTACTTAACAATACATAAAAAATTTTCCAATCAAAACTTTCCATTTTTCCCCAGAGAGCTTTAAATGTCAGGTGATTTGACACGTATACAACATTCCTATACAGAGGATCGATTGTATATATATCTGTATTGATACATTGTATCTCTGAACCTTCTAGGATTCCACCAAAGTTTTTTTATGTAGTTTTATCTCCTGAATTAGAATTTCGAGGGTGGAACCTCGAAAAACCACGCAAAAAAAAGTTATTAACAATTTTTATAAGCAATTTTTAAAATTAGGTTTTTTCAGGAAAAAAAAATTCTTTTGTACGTCATCTCTTTTATTTAAAACAAAAAGGTCTCTGGCAAAATTCGTTAAAACTTCATATGACGTATAAAAAATCTACTATGTTTTAAAATTCTTTTTTTAATTTTTTTTAATTGAATAATGTATAAAAAATTATCATTATATATTAATAACACATATTTATCATTTTTTACAGATTACTTAGAATATGAGATCGAACATAAAATTAAAATGGCAGAAGAATTTTTGTGCCTAGTTTATTAGAGAAATACGAATTGTAAAACTTTCAACGAATTACGATATTGGGTATATAAATATTCCAAATTTGAATCGATAGAAGAGTTACCCCCCACTTCTAGCACTATAAGGTTGCATATTTTACGATCATTTTATGTAGTGTATAATCAAACTCAATGTCTCAACGACAAAGCATTGAAACTTGATCCCACAGCTTTTGGTTACTTAAAAGAAGATGATTTGCTCTCACCTCAAAAAGCACAAATGTTATTACCATCCATAATAGATTTAGTGCCTAATTGCAACTGCAAGAGTTGTAAAACAAAATTTTGCTACTGCTTAACAGCTGAGATTCCCTGCTGTTCTTTCTGCGGTTGCCAAAAAGAAAAACTTGTTTAAATATTGATAAGGATTAACTAATAAAAACGTGTACAAATGTAACAACATCCTTTTACTACACTTAATAAAAAAACTTATGCTTAGAATTTGTTCCGTAGGAACACGCTTTTCTCGGGCTTCCCCCCATTTGGGTCCTTCCCCGTCATCTTTTGTTTTGCGCGTTGAATGCCCGGCCACACTATCGCGGAGCTCTGGGCTGCGGCGCCGGCTGATTGGCTGCCGGAGCGGCGGCCGAGAGCTCTGCTCGGCCTACTGACGGGCGCGTGAGCATGTGCGAGCTCGCGAGTCAGTCAGTGCTTAGACAAAGTTATTCTGAGACGTTCATACGTTTTATTACTTCGCCTTTGCCTAGTTTTTTTCTTACTTGATCTGGCGACCGGTGCACCGAGTCCTTTGTACAGCAGTCAGGAGCTGCGTTCGAAATAGCGTGCTGACAGCACCAACAGTTCATAAACTGTATTTTGCTACTCGCGAGTTTCGCGATTTTTTCATCGACTAGGATCAACCTGTGCGTTCAGTTTTCTTCCCTCGATTCACTCACACTCACACATGCAAATTAAAATTGGACTCTTCTTCACTGCAGTGAAATTTCTCGATTGTGACTTGTTTTAATAAAAAGGGTTTTTTAGGCCGCAATGGCTTTTTCCCTGGATATCAGTGTTTTAATTGTGCCTATGCTAAATCTTGTTTTAGTGTAATAATACCTAAAGTATGGTGGTGTAAAGTTGCATCGTTCTTTGTTTTTTTGGTGAATTTAAAACTAATGAAAAATCTTGTGGTAAAGTTCATAAGTTAAAAACGTGGCTGTGTCGCCTAAGGCAACGTCACGATAAAACAGAATTTGTTATGTTGATCCTTAAAATAATGTTTTTTAATCATGAATCACGTTATCACTCATCGTTTGTACATTTTTTTCTCAAGTATTAGCCATGTTTGTTTAATACTTTTTTTTTTTTACTATGACATCCAGTAGCTTTTTACTGTGCAATTCGGATATTTTTAGTCACATCCAGGAGGCTAGCAAGCGAGTAAAAAAAAAAAAAGAATTTTAAAACATTGTAAATTTTTTATACGTCATCTGAAGTTTTAACGAATTTTGCCAGATACCTTTTTGTTTTAAATAAAAGAGATGATGTGCAAAAGAATTTTTTTTTTCTGAAAAAACGTAATTTTAAAAATTGTTTATAAAAATTGTTAATAACTTTTTTTTGCGTGGTTTTTCGAGGTTCTACCCTCGAAATGCTAATTCAGAAGATATAACTACATAAAAAAAACCTTGGTGGAACCCTAGACCTCAAAAGGCTACGGGAACCCCCCTGGCGCCCGGACTATATAGGGCGATTCATAAGGAGTCAACAGAACGAAAAAAGTTTGGGCTCAACGGCGTTTTTTAGACTTTGATATCAAACATAACTGTCCAATGTATGAGACCTCGAAAGTCGCAAAAATGCTTTTTATGATGGTTTGGAAATTCCAATGTTTCATTATGTCTACAAAACTGTTTTTTTTTTAGAATGAAAAAATAAAGGTCGTTGTTTATTATATTTTGTAGCGGATAAGACATAGCAAAAATCTTCCTATAGTTAAGGTTCAACCGTATTTAAGGAGCTCAACGACTTCGAAATTTTTTCATAATATTTTTTCCTTCATTTTCTCTGTCTTTCGAAACTTTGTAAAGTTCTTGGTTAAAAAAAATCTTGAGTCAAAATGAATACAACAATGGGTGAGGCACTAAGTAGTAAAGACGATAGAAATATGGAAATATGCCTTTTTAGATTCTTTCTCTCATATGCTGTAAGGTAAAAATAAAAAAATGCAATCACATTTACCCTCATTTTCAGGATCCTCGGGCGAAAATCCCCGTTTGAACACTTTCGGCGCACCCCATTCACTGGCAATGAGCACATCGTGATGCAGCTGATACCAGAAATCATAGCCGAACTTGGCCTTCTTCTCACCCTTGACCCACGTGCCCTTGATTTCAAGCGTCTTATTGTCGATGCAGATAAATTCTCCAAGACCATCGCCATTTGGCTTACCCAGGGTCGAAATCATGATATCCCCATTGGGTGCGCAATGCGAAGTATGTGGCGTTGCCACTCCATACTTGTGCATTTCCTCTGGTTCCAGAATCTGCAGAGTTGAATATGCACATGAAGCAGGTATACAGGAATAATTCTGATAAGGGTTTGCGACGTATCTATTGCGTATGTACCGCTATCAGTATTAAATATGCATAAGTAAAGACATGCCCAATGGTCCAGGAGTTTGGTTTAAAGGGGGGGTATCTGTCTAGGTGGTCAATGTTTCATAAGCTATCCGTTCATTTCTCTCTACATCTCTCCGATTGCCTCTGCTTTTTTAAATAACTTTTTTAATGAACGAACGAACGAACTGAACAATAAAGGCAGCTCTTTTTTTTGACAGTTCCTCTTCTTAGGCTGTTTCGAGTTAATCATTGTCATCGCTGTCAAGAAGGAGTTTAAGGAGCGAAGACTAACAGGAGGGTGCAAGAGCATCAAGAGAAAACGAAGGGGTACGTAGTAAGAGTTTCAGATGCAGACATGACGAATGACCAATTGGATTCTCTGGGAAATGGTATATTTAACGTAAATACAATTTTTATGGACTAAACTTTTTACCTCACTTTTTACCATTCAAACCTATTGTGCTTTAACTTCTTCATACATTTTGAAATATACCAAACATTTTTATAGACCAAGGCAAAACAGGTCACTGTAGTAAGTTTCCCACTTGCCAAAGTAGTGTCTTCTACATTTTGGTTTACGCTGTGTGCAATAATTTTTAAATGTTTAGGAAACAAACGTGTATACTTTTTAGGTGTATGAGAGTAAAGAAAATTAGCTTACTGACCTTTTTTATCTTGGGCGCCCGCTCGTTGGACATATCTATAAAGTAGATCCTATCCGACATGAGGCAGGGCAGTATGAGAGTGTCGCGCTTACCGGGCTGACCATAACAGCTGCTGCAGATATTCCAGCCACTGTGGTGTAGCTCGTCACCTACTTCACGCATTCGAAGCTTGTGGATTATCTGGGGTAGGAGAAAAAAATGTAATGGATCACTGAATCTACGATTTTATTGTGATTTTAGATGAAGTTTATGGTCTTCTTATGTTTACATAAATGTAGCCGGTAGGCTAATGATATATCCTGGATAAACATGATGGGGGAGTATAGCATGATTCTATGGTAAAATATGAAGATACTGTATTAAAACAATAATCACGAAAAGGTGTGGCTGAGAGATGGGATAAAAGGGATCTTAGTTTACAAAAGAAACGTACAGCTTTATGATAACAACTGAATGATATGAGTATTTTTGTTACGAAAAATGAGCTTTGTACATAAAGAATCTCTAAAACCTTATCTATCTATTTTTTATAGTTATTTGGTTATTATCACAGAAAATAATTCATAAATAATTAATGAAAGACACTCAAATCAAGTAATAAAAACTTCGATTGGACTTGAATTAAAATTCTCAATATAATTGTTTATGCACTCGGCAAATATTGTCAGAATTCATAATCATGTGAATAAAACATTAAACTTTTTCTGTAAATTATTGAAATGTAAATAATTTTATTTGTTTATACGAGGCATTGATATCCTTCAAATTAGAATGTATGGCAATATTTTTTAGGAATGAGTACTTCATAAGGAAGACACATTTTTACGATGGCAATAACTGTAATTATAGAAACATAATTACTTTTTCGTGTACAGAAAATTTCAAACCTATTAAAAATGCCATTTATACCATCAAAATTGAATTGTTAGAATGCTTCATGCATAATTATAGCGATCAAACGCATCAAAAACAACTTTTACTCTAAGAATTTAAATGGATATTGGCTTTTTACACAATTATCATAAAGAGAAAAACTCGATGAAAACCATTCGACTACTGGCCTTTACACTTTGTGACAGGTTATTTAGTCCTTATATTTAATTGTTATGTTTTGAATCAAGTGTTTTTAACAAAAAAAAAAAAAAAGATTTATTGTAATTTACTTCATTATTTTCTATTTTAGAATAAAATGTCAAATATTGAGCTAGAGATAAAAAAGTCGCAACCTTTAAAAAATGATCATAATTTATGTTGTATTTGTTGACTGTATAATTGTATGAGTGATACTTTCACTCCAAACCATTCGTTTTGTACATGAATTCAATATTTTTTCATGTCACACATACACAAACATCAAAAATTAAAGTTTCAACGGTATCTGCTGTCGAAAATATTATCAAAATTAAATTACCAGTCGGAGCTTCGTATCAGCCTTTGAAAAACATAAAATATCTTTTTCCTTTATAGATTACGAATGGTGCAGCAAAATGTTTTGACAAACCAAGATAACAAGTTTAAAAAAAAAGCAAGCAATCGTCGGGATAAAAAAAACCACAACAACCCACCTTGCAGTAAGTCGGGCTGGTGGGGTCAACATCGACAGTTGCTAAAACATCCGGTTTGTTGGGATCGGTGTGAATGCAGTTGACATACATTATTTTCTCGCGGGGCCCATGCAGCATCGCATCTAGCGGGCTCGGGAAACCAGCGCCACATGACCCTTTCTCTGCAATAATGCAAACATTTAAGTAGTACGTGTTTGCGTACTATTCTTATACATATTTAACTCATGAGTTATCATTCTTCACAGGACTTTATTGAAGCCAACTATCCCTACAGTGCCTAAAAGTTTTAAATAGTCGTACTTAATAAAGTATACAGTGGTTTGTCGTTCCGTATTGTTCAATTTTCTTTTTTCCCATTAGATGCCGTTAAAATATGGAAACGTTGCAGTTAGATAGGTGTTTACTGATCGAATGATTATTTGAATGTTATTACTTTTATAAAAAGTCATTTCAATGTCACAACTTTTTTGTGAGATTTTTTTTTCTTTATCTTTGAATGTTAAGAGAAGGTGACACCAAATTATACCATGAAAAATTTTCAACCCAGACGGATTATCATTAGAAAATCTTTGTTCTCTGTATGATTTGTGAAGGAAATCTCACTATTTGGCTAAAAGCTTAGATATCATGATTTTTTGTGACAATAGTGCTAGAAGCACTTAATTCTTGCATACACATTGAAAGGTTTATAAGGTGAATGTCCCAATCATCGTTTATGTCATCGATCATTTTTCTTTTTGTCGTAATAAAAATTTTTTCAAACATAAATGATTTGTTTTTGGGTCACCAAGAAATCATTTTTTTGATACAAACCCACCTTGTTATTCATTGAAAATATATTTGAGGCCTGTAAAAAGAAAAATAAAGTGACCGATAGTCAGGACATTTCGTCTGCTTGAGTGAGCGGTAATTGGGACATTTACCTTACTATTTTCCTTATGATGGGTATAACGTGATGGAGCCAGTGTTATTACTGGTTTATAACGGTGTAAACGTATATAAAATATTCAGCCAAACGCATACTACGTGCACGGTGCCAGTCATAACTTAAATTTGGTGATAATCGATGACATTAGGGGTTGTGTGGAGAAACAGGATTTTTTTGCAACGATGCATAGAAAACACAAATTTTTCGGGGATAGCATTGTAGCGTTTATTGAATGATGTCAATTGCGCATCGAAAACTTTACAAAAATGCGATATTGATTTGGACGCGTTGAATAGAGCTTTACTAGAAATAGAAATAAAAAATTGAAAATTCATAGGAATGACTTTGAATCGTTCGTGAAAGTGTAAAGCAAGTAAAATATACAAACAACCTATTCTAGAAATAGCTAATGAACTTCGTAAATAATAGTTTTATAAATTTTATTATAACTTTTTTTTTTTTTTTTTAATTTCGTATTTTTTTAGGAAAAATATTGGCTGAATTTCTATTAGTAAGTACTCATGCAAGAGAATAGTACATTAGAATCACTGGTTGTCTGAAACTGACACTTACGGTGGTCTTTAATTACTATGGAAGTGTAATTTAAAAACTGTCATCCTGACAGCTTTAAATACGAACAAATGGACAAAAATACGCGTAAACGTCTTTCGAATCTTCAAGGCAACAACAGTTACAATTAAATTTTCCCAAGATAGAAATCAAATATATTTTTATATGAGATTAACGAAACTTGCGTATTTATAACGAAATAGTATATTACGTACCAAGGGACTAAAGCAAGCCAGTTCGTGGCTGTTGTAGTGTGCGCCCGAGCGTAGCGAGGGCGCTACAAGCAATAGCCACTCGCTGGCTTGCTTTAGTCTCGCGGTGCGTATACACTTTTATATCACACTCAGCGGAAAGTTCGTTGCATTGAGAGGGAGAGAGATAGAAGGAAAACAAGCCATTCATTGTGTGGTTATAGGTTATATCACAAGAGTTTTTATAATTGTTTCCGATTGTGATATTTAGGACATTCCTGTATTTTTGTATAAAATATGGCAACAGTTTCGACAGTCATGTTTGAAGAGGATTCTTCTGACGAAGAAAACTTTGACGAGGATAAAGTAGGGGAAGGAAGAGACTTTGACTGTGAACGAAATGCCATTGTTCAAAATTTACTTCCCATAAAATCGAGAGCATTATATGAATATGCATACGCTCGATTCTTACAATGGAAGCATAAAAACAAGGACCTAATTATTTAACTCTTTTAATGTATGTGTTTCGAAATGTAATAATTTCAATAGTTTATTATACAAGATTGATAAAAATGGAGAACTGTAAAAATGCAGTTGTTATTTAAAAATGTGTGAACAAAGAAAATTGTATAACAATTTTAATTATTTCCATATGTTCAGAATCTCATGTTTTTTTTTGTATAAAATACACCAGCAAACAGTACGTTGGCTTCTTTTATCTTGTTGATATTTCCCAAATTTGTTTGTTTACTGCAGTGTGGCGCCCTCGCTATGTTCGAGCACCGAACTACTTCAGGCACTTATTGGTTTATGTATATAGTAATATACAGTAAGATATAGATACGCATGCGTACACGCACTTATTACACAATTTCTGTCCCTGTATACAGGGAGAACAGTACGAACTTTACGCTTAGTGTGATATAAATGTACTTACTTTGGCACGCAGTTAACATGATGAAGAGTGACTTCCTTCGGAGTAAACTCTTTTTTAATAACCCATACACTCAAGTATACGGACGATACAAAAGAGGATGAGAAAAGAAAAGGTAGTAGTAACAAGATCTTTTTGATTTACTAGTCTCAACTCAACTGTCGAGCAGCACTACTTTTTATTGTGACTTATACGTAAAGCCTCTGCACAAATATGAGAGATACGAATTATCTCTGTGGTTGATACACGTTGTACGTCATGGCTATTTAGGTATCTGTCCAGACATTTTTCGTATGTATTTTACATTGTTGTGTACTCCGAAGCAGCGATCCCACGCAAAAGCAGCAACCAACCCTGAGTTACGATTTACTGTATACGTAAACTCAAGGCTGAATTAGAACAGCTTCCGCTTTCACGCAAAAATAATCATGCCGCCTATGAAAAGACCGTATATTTGAAAAATTTATTTCCAAGTTACAAGAATCACAACTATTTAGCACTGATTTCTTGGCTTTGTTTAAATGTGTTAAATAAAATGGTTTCGAAATTAAAGTTACTATTATAACAAAACCATCGTGTAATAAACAAATCACTGTATCTATATTATTAGGTACAACTGCTTCACATCAGAAGTGCCTTACATATTGCCAAGGTAAAAAGTGTAACCATCACTTATGAAGACATGTACTTAAATCGACTATCTCAAAAAGTTTACGTACGATTGGCCTCAAATTTGGTTTGTAGCTTTGTTCTCATTTTAAAATCTGACAGTTTCAAATCCCGAAAATTTTGACCAAGGGAAAAATTTTACCAGCCTCAAAACTGCATGACTCTGAAAAATTAAAACTGTTTTTTGCATGTAACTTTTTTAGGGGATGTTTTAGAGTTTTAGATCCATGTAAAATAAAAAAATGTAGGTCTCACAAAAATAATACTTTTGATCACTTATGTAGTCACCAAAAAAGGTATTTCAATGCCCTTATAGTCAAAAAGATGATATTTTCCACGTCCAAAAAATCAGTTTCCTGCTATATTTTGAAAATTCAAAGATTTACGTATTCCGTATCATCGAGAAAGTTTTATCACGAAAATGTTTTTTTTTTCGATACTTTTATTTATTTTCCAAGGAACATTTTCATACTTACAAAAATTGAAGATAACATCGAAGAACATAAAAATAAATTATCCTTAAGTATTTATTAAAGGTATGTGTAGAGTCAAAAGAAATGTAGATCTCATTGAAATACAACTTTTTGTACAGCACACTTGCATTCACATTACAATCCTAATGGTCTGGACGGCAATGAACGTTTAAAACAATAAAAAAAGGTTTTTGTCTATTATAGAATAAAGTTGACACAATATCCTGAAGTTGTAAATGCTAATGTTGTAGATCCTAGAAATACACAAACTTTTCATATTTTTATATATTTTTTACATACTTTTTTGATGCTCCAAAAATTGAAGAAAGTATATCAACATGTCAAAAAATCAGTTCTTTCGCTACAACTCATCTTTTGTGTTCATGTGTGATCAAGGACAATTGCAGATCTTAAGGTGGTTCTTTCATGACTCCCGAGTCAAAGGTGCAACTATCAAAATAATATTTATTAATACTGCTTAAATTTTAAACGGCTATTTGTAAGTATTGCTTATTGAGGCAAATTGAGCACTGATTCAAAATTTTAGATGATAATATACGGTGTAAAAATTCGTAGGAGTGATTATCTAAAATTTGCGCTTAACCTCAAAATACCAGCAGTGGATGCTTACCTATGCTCCGAATGGACATTAGTTAGGATCTTAAGATGCGTGCTTTCCTTTATCTTGGTCAATTGACCTGATCAAAACAAACGGGCTGTTGATCTGCGGTAGAAATAAAATTGCTTACCCAAAATTCTCTAATCTGTCAATAAAAGAAGTTGCTCCTGTCGTCCACCACTTGCAGGTGGTCTGACCGAGATAGTAAGGAGTTTGCATCACCCTATATGAGTAACAGACACACATATAATCTAGGGATGCATGTGGTACCCTGTCGATGCTTTTCATCTCTGTATCCTAATTTTCGTAACTGATAGTAGGGCTCAAAAATTCCAGTTTTATTAAATACTTCAGCAATATAGTGTCGCAATTCTTCCACACTTACAAACAGTAATCGTTTGTGACTATGGACTACGTTCATACAAGTACACGTATTTAACGTTTATAGTTATAAAAATGTTTTATTACATAAAAGCATTATAAAAAGATACAGTTAACTCATGCACAGAATTTTTAACTTATTCGCAAAAATTGTAATTCTGGATGTAATTTTCATTTTTTGGGTTTTTACTTCATCGTAATACTTATCCATTATTTTCTTCAAAGTTGTTTTTAGGTGTGCACGAAAGTTTTGATTGTTTTCTTTTTTCTCTTGTTTTTCTCCGTTTTAATGTTGTTGTTCTTGTTCACTTGCTTCGTTGTAAACATTTACGTTGATATATATGAAAAGCGATAATGTTGTGTCATCGATAATTTGTGTTTTTCACATTAAACAATTAAAAGACAATTAATACTGTGTATAGCATATGTTATATCTAAAATAATATTAAAATATATTGCACAATTGTTAATATCATCTAGTTTTAAGTTTAAAATAAGTGTAAATAATTTTATGAATATTTAAAAATTTTTTCCAATAGCAAATTTCAAACCTTCTTAAATCCGAAAAAATCGGTTTCTTATGAGAGCAGCTGCGGATTTGCTGCTGTGTTTTTAAGATTGTTAGCGATAAAATTTATTTTTCACTGATTAAAAACTTTCTTCTCAGATTTACAAGTTTTAAGAATATTTTTGGTCAATTGTCAAGAAATTGTAAACGTTTCCTCCCATTACCAATTTCAGTCGATAAATTGAAAGCAATTAAAAAATATAGGTTAATCTCATGATGGTGTGAACCCTGTTATAGTATAAGTAACTTTTATACGTATACTGTTAGATGGGCTACCTTTCGAGGGAAAAACAGTGTAAGTGTTCTAATTTTCCTAATACATTTTGTGTATTGTTTGTAGAATCGTTCATTATATAGTTACTACTTTCCTACACTGTCCTCACATATTATACGAAAGTCCGGTCGTTTTAATGTAATACTATTCACAAATTTTTTAAAATAAACAATTTGAATAATCAATCAAACATATGTGAACACTATGTACACACCTTTCCCCCAAAGTTATCAAGGTAAAGACAGAGAAAAAGCATCTAGCCGATCAAAAAATCAGGCAATTAGGTAGAAATTTATAGGACAACAAGAAAAAACAAAGCAAAAAGGCTTTTAACTGCTACGTTATTTTGTTTTATTGCTTTATAAAATGTAATTGATGGTCATTTTTTCTGTGAAGTTTATTAAAGTATTTACATTATACAATGTGCATGATTTTAATGACCTAAAAAATCTAATGAATATAATTAAAATTGTACTTTGATTTACAATTGATTACAGCACATTAATAATAATATAGAGTGTAAGTATAAGTGGAATTTTGATTACTGATACATCTGCTGGTATTCATTTAGTTGTTTAAGTATAGTAACGCACGCTTATCAACTTCTTTTTCAATAGCTACTAAATTGTGAATTTGTTGTGGTTAAAAAATATTCATTTAATTTTCACATTCACGTATTTTACTGATAGAATGTATTCTATTTTTATGTCAGGTTGTAGAATTTCAAATTATCATTATACGTACAGTCTGTACATTTCGTTCCTTCATAGTTTAACTGTGATTGTCTTAATAAAGTCTTATTACTGTCTATTACGTATATTTAATAAACGATTCACACTCTTACACATACTTTCTCTATCTTGTTTGGAGTGACAGTAATTTTTCAAGATAAGATGCTGCATCAAATTATAATGCGTTTAAAATATAAATTATCTAAACAAATCAATAGCTTATAACATTCTACAATCATTTCGTTACATACCCCAATTCAAATGAAGTGACACAAATGATTATAATAAATTTTTTTTTTGAACAACATTACAAGAAATAACTAGTTTATTTCTCATTAGTTCTGAAATTTGAAAAATAATTTATTTTCTCTGGGCTACTTTATTTTAAAAAACGCCTAATTTTTGATATATTTGACATATAATTTTGTTATTATTTGTTTCACTACTTAAAAAAAGTTTTTTGAACCGAAAAAACTGTACAGTATTTTTTTACACTGCAATACTTGGAATACTCTGAATATTAAACAGAAATTCCTTATCTTTGGCCTTAGTATGAAAAAAAATTCTTTGTCACTTGAAGACAATTTGTTTTTCCAATAGAAAACAATTGCATACTGTCACTTGTGTTAAGTGTTAAGATCGGTGCCAATTTGGTACAGCACGAAGGAAAGTGTCAATTCAGTTATGAACGATAAAAAGTAACAGCTTGGAACCAAAAAAAACAATATCTCAATACGTATCATAAATATTAATCAATAAAATTTCTATTGTGTAATGGAAGGCAAATGATTGAATATGCTAATAAAAAAACTTTTTTTGATTCAAGACAATATTCTTAGTAAATAATCTCTTAAAATAATTTTATATTTTCGTACTTTAAAGAAATATTTAAACCAAACAAAAAATATTATCAATGTAAAAAATATTATATTATTTTATTATAATATTTATTTGAAACTTTTGAGTAAATGTTTCCTTGATTTTAAATAATTTTTCCGAGTATAATTATACCAGTGATCGAAGTACATCAGGTCATTGGCACTTTAATTGATACATACGTTACTGCTTTTTGTAGTATACAAATGATAAACACACTTTTTTTTCTTTTCGTGTTTAGGCCAGAGCAATTCAACTCTATCGATCCAAGCAAATACGGCTGATTAAAGGACCGAAGCATGAAGCTTAAAATAATTTCTCTGTCATAATTGCAATATGAATTTTCTTGTCCAATAAGTAGTGAAAATATTCTGTTTTTTGGAGTCTTTCATAGTAATCAGCTAAATTGACACTATTCGAAGAGCTAGACAAAATTCAAATTTTTTTATTTCTAATCGATGGTTAATTTTTTAAATCACAAAAACTTTTTCAAAATTACGACAATAGTTATGCAATTCTAACGGATTAACACTATTGATATTTTTTCTGCCGGCAGAGGTTTATTTCATTCTAGAATCTGATAATTGATGGAACGAAAATCTAGTTTTAGTTTGCAAAGACGTGTTTTACGTGATTGTAAGGTGCGAGCTACTATCACTTTAGTTTGGAAAATAGCTGAAATATTTGTACTTATACGTGTACATTAACTTTGTGGTAGTCGCAAACTAAATATCACATTGAGTTTATAAATAAATGATTTTCAACTCCGCTGTTGTATGCTTTAGCATTATTTAGTAATATTTTTTTTTCACACTTGAGCATTTAAAAAATTTGGATTCGACCAAGTAACTACAGATGCCTAATTATAATAGTTTAGTACGCTCCAATACCATTCGATACATCACGAACTTTTTAAAAACCTAAACATCTTTTTCATCCCTTGTATATGGATGACTTCACAATACTTTGAAACATTGAATAATATCGGGGTGTATTGAAGTACCATAACGACATCTCAGTTAATGGCAAGTCTTTTCTACGGCTAACATTCGAATAATCACATAATTATTATTAATTTCTGAGATCTTTGTAAAACCATAAGATAAGAACCAAAATAAGAAACGAAAGTATTTTGTGTTGCAGGTTCTTCACGTTTCAAATCATTTGCTGTGTTGATATTTAATGCCTTTACCTTGTCTAGCCGTTTTATTCTGCTCTGGCATATGATGAAACTGGGATGTTTTATCCAAGAATAATTCAAAGCAATAAGAACTAGTGTCAACAGATATTGTGGTTATCAAAAATAAATATTAGATTGACTATTGGCAATAATTCAATTTAGTTGCCAAGCAAAAAAAGAGCCACAATTAAATTCATCCAAAAATTTTGATATGTTTAGTATTTTAGACTGCACTAGATAAAGGTGATTTCATTTCGCTTTCAATGGATGCTTTAGATGATTTAACATTAAGAACGAATTCTCAGTGCTTAAAGCTATAGGGTATTTTTCCCTAATTTGGAGAACTGATCTGGGTTCTGATTTTCAGCCACTTTTTTCTGATACCTCTATGTGGTGTTTCCCATGGTACTTATCACTATGATAGCTCATCGTCGTTATATGACGTAAATTTCATAAATCTGGGAGTAAAAAAAAAAACAGTGGCTGGTTCAGAGGTGGAATTCTTTTACCTCGCTGTGGCAACAGTAAAAACCATCTGTGGTTCGAAATTTTCACACGGAGTAACAATTATAAGTAACCCAAGATCAACATTGACTAACGAATACAAGGTCATTAGAACTAAGTTAAAGTTAGCGAGTAAAAGCTTTATTGTTTTTTACTATTTTCTTATTTTGTGTCATGACTATGTTTAGGACATCTTTTTCAGTATTATACAAAATTAACAACAGGAAGGCAAAAACAATAGATATCCATAGTTCATGATTTTTCAAATTTGAACGGTATAATATTAAAAGTGATTTTCTTTACTTTGCTTTTCTTTCTTTAATAAATGTTTTAGGAATTTTAATATACATATATTTTCAATAGCTGAGACATGGTACATCACAAATTGTATACAACTTTTTTTTTTAATGAAACTAGAAGAAACGACTTGTAAAAAAGTATCGAGTTGCCACATAAAAATTTATGTAAGTTTGTCTAAAACAAAGTAATTTTATGATGCATCTTGTAACATCACCATAATTATATGAATGGTCAATGATTATATAATATATCTAACGGGTAAAATAATCTCTTGGCAGATGTTTGTTAAAGATTGCAGCCATTGAAGGTATAAGCTTTGTCATATTGGCATCTTTAATGTGATGTTTAGTAAAGAAATTCCCTTACAACTTGACATATTGCTTGAATTTACAAAATATTATTCACCGAAATAGATATTATTAGACAATTCAAATTATTTAAAACAATAAAAAAAAAAAAAAGAACTCCTACGGTTTTGAGTAGAAAATTATTTTTATGGCTTTCTTCATCTTTCAATTACAAAAAAAACACTACACAATCATTTGTACAGTTTGAAGGTTTAGACTTTGAGTTGGTACATCATCGTACGTGTTTCTATGAAATCAGTTAGGCTCAACTCTACAACCCTAGGCCTTAGAAAATGTTCGCTCAGTCTTTCCGGTGACGCCGGTCGTCGATACCCCAATCCCCTTCCTCCGCGAGAGCCCACGTTGCACCCTTTCCCTAAACTCAGCCCACGCGTATAAACCCCGTTTCTTAGCCGCTATAAGCCGATCCAACTTGGCTTTCACCATCGCAGTGCGCTCTGCCAGCTCGTCCAAGCTCTCCTCCATCCTATCCAGGCCTACGCTCACGTTAGCGAGAACGCGGTAGACCAAACGCTCGCGGACACGCTGCGCCTCCTCGTAAGCGCCTAAACGACGCCGCGCCAGTGCGCACACCAGCAATATCACCGCCGTACAACTCACGGCTGTGAGGAACTTTTGCGCCTGGAATGATAACAGAGGCGATGACGGTGGCGACATGTGGCCCGGTGTACATTACTCGCCAACTATGGATGTATCACTGTTTCGTATTTTTTTCACGAAGGGCTATTGTGTATGGATGTTTCTATGGTACTCATTTAATGTAGAGAGTATTATTATTTGCGTGTATACATAGTTTTACTTATGTTGCGGTCTACTTTTGAAGTGTGCATTTAATTTGGAGGTACTGGAGCAATTTCAACATTTAGAGCACGCCCTTGAGTACAGTACGGAAGATTTGTTGATTTCCACTGACATGATATGCTGCACAGCTTACTTATTTGGCTACGTGATTAGGTGACTACAGGTCTTCAATAAAGTCCTTGTACGTCACAAAAAAGTATACTCAGAAAATAGTAGTACAGTTTTTTTACAGCTTTAATCTTTTCTACCTCAAAATACCCGCAGATCATGCGAGTGAATGCTTATGTGTATAAAACCTTATAGTTGTTTGTAATATATTTTCTTAAATTGGTACCTTGTTTTTCAACGTTTTTAGAATATTCTTTTTTCATTTGGTCTGTGTCAATCGATGGGTTTTATTTTGCATTGCTGAAATATTTCAACCATGGTCCAATGAATACTTGTGATTGAGAAAAGTTTTAGAAATAATAAATTTCTTTGAAGTTTTCGAAATTTAATTCGCCTACACACTGACAAAAGATTTGGTTTCTCAATCTCACTATAAATCCAAGTATTTTACTATCATACCGTCTTGATGTGCGCAGTTATGACACCATTATATTTTTTAAATTGTTTTAGTCATAAATTTTGCACGTAGATTAATGTATTTAATGTAATATAGTGATATTTGTTGAAACAATCACCTCGAGCTTCAATTAAGAAAGAAATCAAAACAAAAACAAATTAAACCAACCAAATAATTACCAAAAAATCCTACACTCGTACAGATCGTTTGCACTTTTTTTACTGTATCCCCAGGCACCGAGTTATTCTCCTTAGTTTCTGCGATAACTCAGACGTGTGCTGTTCAATTTGAGGATGTTTTCGCTGGCAGTTGTTTATTGCAGCTTGTGATCGTCGTCGATGTATCTCTGCTTCGCTTTTGTCTATCATAACATTTGCACCACGGACGACTCGCTGCATCGTTGTATCGTGTCTTAGAATCTGTTTCTTGGGATAAATTTGCAAATTTTTTTGTCGTAGTGTTGTTGATTTTGTTGTTACCGGTTAGGCCCAATGGAATTTGTACTAATTATTTGCTGATAATTAGATGATTGTCAGGTACTGTTTTGAGTACAATTTACCTGTAGAAAAAAATTTATAATTCAGTGATTTCAAGTTTTGATGACTTAATAAAGCTGTGTACAAAAATATTTTGAAGATAACAAATTTTTACCTCCACAACACTTCTACATGTACCTATTTATTGAACTTATAAGTAAAGGTTATAGTAGGCCCCTGGAAAATTTTATTTGATAGAACCATTTGAAGAAAGTACTATACTATTTCCAAACGCATGGAAAACTTTTACAATATATTGTACGAATCTACGTGCGCATAGATAACATGAAAAAAATTGGGTGTCAAACGGTGGTGCACTTTTTTTAGAGAAAAACGTTACATGATAAATATTTGTCTAAATCAGTAATCAACATAAATTAAAAAAAGAGGAAGATTCAATGTTACAATTTTCATTGAGCAACTCAAATTTCGTAAAAAAGAACTATAGTCTGTCCGTTTTAATTAACATTTATTTTTGTGAGCCTGTATTACATTAATAATAAAACCTTTTCCCATATACTTTGTTTTTATGGGGTTTTCAAAGCATACCTCAAAATTTAAACTAAAATCTTAATGTTTTCTAAAACAAGTTTGGCAAACAATTAGCTTTTATTTCGAGTGATTTTAAATACATTAATCTTCATAACACAACTTGTTATAATGAGCAAATTCCCCTTTAATCCTCATCATTAAAAATTGCGTCAATCTATGAAACAATACTCACAGCAAGTAGGTAATTCAGACGAAGTATCCGTGGCTGGTAAATTTTTCATCAGTCAAGTATCGACCTGAACCCAATAGTCACCCGTGCGCACTCGAACCACCCCTCGCATCCCCAAGCATCAACATCTTCCAGCAAAAACCAAACTCTATGCTAGAAACTCGTATCCAAGTAAATAAATAAACAAGAAGAATAAAAAAAAACTTGTACAACGTGGGAACGAAATCACTTGAGATGCAAGAGGGAAAAAAAAGTTGAAGGATATCAGCTGCCCACCTGTGGTCCGGCAGCTAGCCATCTTTTGATCAATCGGACCCTTTTCCATCGCACACCAACACCTTTCGTTCAAGCACGGCCACCCGCTGTTGATGCATTGGCTGTGTATCCGCATCACTGCAGGAAGACAGTGGCTGTATACGCCTAGTGACCCACGTGATTGGACAAACTTCTTTTAACTTGTTGCCGGACCACGTTCATACCCCTGCTCGCGTATACTGGCTACAAAGACTTTGAAGCTGAGAGTACGGAGAAGACGAGCAGCCCAGCTGTCGTCGAGTGCGAGGGCAAGACTGTTGCAGTCATCAGCTTCAGGGGAGAGCTTTGCTCGTACCACCACCACCACGTATGTATACATATTTAGGCACGTTTCTCTCTCCCTCCTTCTCCGAGCGCTACTCTGTTTCGCTTCAGCTTCCACCCCCGCGTGCGCACGCTCCGGAGCTTTTCCGTCTTTGGGGATGTGTTGGTACGCGGGGATGTTTGGGAGGGATTCGAAGGAAGGGGGATGCTGAGGTCATGCGCTGTAATAATCTTTAACATTGCGGGATGAGTCATTGGAAACATGCGAAATTATGAATAATATTTGGAATTTTGAGAGAACTCTGACGTTTTCTTAGTTGGATCATTTACGAACCAACACAGCATATTATGGTAACGCTGCATGATAAGAAAGATTGAAATAATTTGGAAACCAAAGCTTGAAATTGAATTTTATTTTTCAAACTCCGATGGGGTTCTTGTAAATAAACGGAATACGTATACGTATATTTTTTACATTTTTACCTCCAAGTGAAATGCACACTGTGGATTTATACTACAAATCTACGAGTGTCGAAAAAAATTTACCAAAACTCACTACACGCCTTACCTCGTCTCGAGAGATGTTGTTGAGTATAAACGCATCAGTCAATTGTAACTTTTTATTTCGTTAATCGGACTCGCTTCACTCATAATGCCATGTACTATGAAGAAAAAAATTTAAAAACAGGTTTCAGTGAGGGTGACATCCTTTTTTTGCGATTTACATGCTATTTTATCCATACAGATGATATGTCCCATAATTTTAACACGTAAATCGTGGAGACAGGGTGTCACCCTCACTGAAACCCGTGTTTACAAACACGGTTGTCGGTCATAAACTGTCTTGAAGACGTTCTTATTTTTTTTTTTTAGTTATTCATTTGTTTGTTTTTATCGATCGTTTCTATGAACCTATACCTTCGACACAACTAAAATTTAAACAGTTTTTTTTCCAGAAGCTTTACAAAAACAAGTATATATTAATAAAGTACAACGTACGGTATTAATATCGTTGAAGTATATCAGTATTCATACTCGAATGAATATAGATAATATTAATAGAGCTGACGTTAAGCCTCTGTAAGTCAAACTGAAAAGTTTAATTGAATCCACCAAAGCAGTACAATGATGAACCAACTTAAAAGCAGATCTGTCATTGTTTACCGAGTATGGTTAGTAGACTGTACTAGACTTTTTTTACTGTTGAGCGTTCTTTGACATAGCATCTCTTCCGGACTTTGATAAACTTTGTCTTTGTCAGTTTTTGTTTAGGTGAAAAAAAAAAAAAAAAAATTTACCAATATTTTTGATGAGCCTTATATTCTATAAAAATGTGTATTTTTTATCATTCTTGTCATTAATTTTAAATCCAGTGGACAGAAAATAATGGTAAAATATAAGCCCATGTAGACAGCTTGGTAAAAGAAACGAACTTAAGATTAATAAGACGAAAGAGCTGATTCTTCATTATGTTAAAGAATTAACTAATTGAGACCAAGTTTATACTAGAAACAGTTCAGTTAAGATGTTTGTTTTCGAAAGTTGTTGTGGTAGTGCTAATATTTTATTTTTGAGTTAAGTTAATTTAAAAGTATTAACGTCTTTTACACTGTAGAATTTTCCTTACAATAGTAAATATTTAATTTATATCACACTAAGCGTAAAGTTCGTACTGTTCTCCCTGTATACAGGGACAGAAACTGTGTAATAAGTGCGTGTACGCATGCGTATCTATATCTTACTGTATATTACTATATACACAAACCAATAAGTGCCTGGAGTAGTTCGGTGCTCGAACATAGCGAGGGCGCCATACTGCAGTAAACAAACAAATTTGGGAAATATCAACAAGGTAAAAGAAGCCAATGTACTGTTTGCTGGTGTATTTTATACAAAAAAAAACATGAGATTCTGAACAAATGGAAATAATTAAAATTGTTATACAATTTTCTTTGTTCACACATTTTTAAATAACTGCATTTTTACAGTTCTTCATTTTTATCCATCTTGTATAATAAACTATTGAATTTATTACATTTCGAAACACATTCATTAAAAGAGTTAAATAATTAGGTCCTTGTTTTTATGCTTCCATTGCAAGAATCGAGCGTATGCATATTCATATAATGCTCTCGATTTTATGGGAAGTAAATTTTGAACAATGGCATTTCGTTGACAGTCAAAGTCTCTTCCTTCCCCTACTTTATCCTCGTTAAAGTTTTCTTCGTCAGAAGAATGCTCTTCGAACATGACTGTCGAAACTGTTGCCATATTTTATACAAAAATACAGGAATGTCCTAAATATCACAATCGGAAACAATTATAAAATCTCTTGTGATATAACCTATAACCACACAATGAATGGCTTGTTTTCCTTCTATCTCTCTCCCTCTCAATGCAACGAACTTTCCGCTGAGTGTGATATAAAAGTGTATACGCACCGCGAGACTAAAGCAAGCCAGCGAGTGGCTATTGCTTGTAGCGCCCTCGCTACGCTCGGGCGCACACTACAACAGCCACGAACTGGCTTGCTTTAGTCCCTTGGTACGTAATATACTATTTTCTCTAGCTCCTGAGATAAACCTATTATTCTGCTGCGAGATACTTTGCACATTTTGTAAAATTTTTTTATGATAGTTAAAACGTTTTTGTTCCTTCAAATTGTAAATACAAAAATATTACTATCTTTAAAAAATTAAAAAAAAAAATTGTTTCAGAGTAAACTGCTTCTATAACCACAATCTGACTCAAGTTTTCGTTACTGCAATTTATGATTTATACATACTTTTTTTTTACCAAGTTACCTATATCAATCTCTGTTTTTACGTAAACCTTATGAGCCATGTATAATCAGTACAACTTAGTTATAAATTAATTTTTTTTAAACAGAAAAAAGTAGCATTCCATATGTTACGAAAAATATTGTATACTCAACTTCAGCTGACTATCCGTATTATGTGAACGAAGTACGTGGTTATCTCATAGTTCTTAGATTTAAAGAGATGAGCTCTATTTTGTAGGCGTGGAAAATTTTTCCTTTTAAAATAATGAAATCTTTGCAAAGGTTTAGAAAAAGGTATTTAATTATTTCACAAAATCTAAGATAAAAGTTTTATTCATAACGAATACAATATGTTTAAAAATGTAGCTGTCTCATAGTAGTATGATATCTAATACATTCATGTAAATACATCTGTGTAATATAGGTGTTTTTTATACTTTAATAGCAATAACTGTTAAAGCTAAACTATAATGTGTGATTTACAAAATCACTTTTGGGCTCTGTTTATCGATTATTTTCTATATTTAACCAAAAATATAGCTATTTAATCATACACAAATATAAACTTAATATTTGATCACTGTTACAACTTGTCCATAAGTATAAAATATCTAACAAATAAACATAGCAGTTGATTTTAAATTCATTTTATCTCGAAACCATATACATCATTTATTTCAGTAATCTAATAAATTTTCGTCTTCGAAAACATTATCGATACTTCACTTGCTTTACTTGATAATTTTAATTTACATATGAATTAGAAAATAATTTATCGCATTTTTTTGGGCTTTTCGCTCATTGTAGTGTTATGAGCATCAATTTCATCAAGTGCTACTGCCGTGTAGACTTTCCTTTGTGGTATGAATCTGCAAAAAATATTATGTGTTAACAGAGAATCTTTGCAAAAACGTATGGTATAAGCTTATCCATTTGTGTTTTTTTATCAAACATTGGATGCATCCACGTACGCGTCAAAAAAATAATATTCCATATTGGTACTAAGGAGCATTCGTCAAGAGCAATAATTTAGCGTGCTCTACCAAAGATGTTACAGGAAAATCGAAAGCTACCCTAGTTTAATGGTAGCGCTTATACAATTTTATTATACAAATACACATGCATCAAATAAATAGTTAGGCATAAGCAAAAATTAACGAGAGGTGTGACATCTCGTTTGATTCATCTTTGAGATGGTACAATTAACAGTGGATTAATCTATTAATTTAATAAAACTAGCATAGTTGTCAAAAAAAAGTACCGAATAACCACTTCTATTGTGATAGTGATTATACGAGATTAGTTTAAGAAATATCTACATGTTAACAGGAACATGGAAAAATGATCTTCACAGAAGTAAAAGTTGGTTTTATTAGTTTAAAAAAAATTTTTTTTGACANTTCTGGCCGATTATTTAGTGTTTTTTAATAGAATAAGGTTTTTTCCCATTTCAAAATGTTTTTTTCACTACTTTTCTTTTTTAACAGTCCACAGATTTATAATCTCTTATTTTACTAATTGTCTATCACAAAGCATACTCGCATAAAGAATAAAAAATACCTGAGATTTTAATGGATCGCAATCGTGGTACTCGGCATACATCAACAGTCCCAGAAAGACGCAGCCAAGTTGAATGATTCCCCATCCAAATGATACGAGAAAAATCGCTCTAAGGTGGAGGAATTTTTTAAAAATAGAAGAGTAGTTTTTTTCTGATATTATGATTTGACTTACTTTTTCATATCTGATTTCTCTTTAAGGGCTAAAAATCGTTGAACAAACTTCTGCCCCAAACCCAAACGACTGAGCATAGAAGTTGTCAATCCAATAGATATAGCCCAGAATGTGTCTCTTCTTAGTAGACTTGGATTCATGCTGAAGTAAAAATATTTTAAGTTAATAAGAGGAATGTGATGAATATAAACCAGATGTCATCGAAGCAACTTTTTTTTATGTTAATCATAAACTTTATCATTTATATGTATTTTTGCTCAAATACAAGGTTAGTAGTGTTAACGCCTCTACATCATTCTAATGGCTGAATAATTTATAAGAAAAAACATCAAAATAGTTTTACGAAGTAGAAAAATAATAATTAAAGAATGAGACACATTTTTTTTCTTTTAAGGGCATCTTTTGTTGTATAATTCAATAAAAGGTTGTAAAAGTTCTGTAAGAGCTTTAGAATCAGAGATAAAAGGAAGAAGCTAAATGAAAAATTTTTATTTGTATTTAAGCTGTTTAATAAATAATGAAGCCAAGTTTTCATTCGATTACGATGACTTTTTTCGTATTTTTGAGAAAAATCAGTTAAAAAATTCTCTGAGCTATAGACTACTAAAAAATTTTGGCCAGTATTCTTATACTTCATACTACCTCTTACGAAATTATGAAACTAGTGAAACAATGACGATGAGATAAAAGTTTCAAACAATTACATATCCTAAAATTGCAAACAATTGCATAGCTCAACTAAAACAAAGCTATGTTCTAGTAAACTACACTACTCATTAACTATGAATTTCGAGTTACAGAATTTAAATCTTGCAGGACTGAGAATTCATCTTTAAATTGTTTTTCTAAGTGGTCAAAAAATTATAAAAATTGTTAATGCCTAAAAGCTTGTCAGAATTAAAGTTAACTGTATACAACACAGCTAGGCCAATCGTTTATTTTTGACACGGTGTTTGAATGTAGTAACTGAAAACACACAAAAAATAACCAGAAAGCAACGCAGGGCGCTGGAAAAAATTTTTGTTTCGTAAAACTACGTTGTTTAATTGTTAGCAAGAGATTCTGCATCCATTATATGCTAGTAGAAGCTTTTGATATTTGCAAAAATTAAATTAATTAAAAATTGTAACAACCTTCGAAAGAATGGCGAAATGTGGCGTGGATTGACGTCCCTCATTTTCGTCTCTCCCACTAAATAACTCGTTGCACAGGCAACGATGATAGTAATGAGACTACCGAACATCGTAAAATAAAATGCCGAGACTTGGTAGATGATCGAGGCCTCGCCAGTAATTGGTTTTTGTGGTCCAGCAATAAAAACAATAGACTCATGGAATCTTGCCGAGCAATTTTCTACTGATGTTGGTAAGGTCGGATGAACCGGCATTTTCTTATTCAACACAAGCCACTGAGTTGTAGCGACGTACCACAGCATTAGAACCAGAGACGTGCAAGCGCCAATGAAGGCCCCGACTTTTCCTACCCAAGGAAAAACGAGGCCAAGTAACAGAAGTCCAAGTAGCGCGCCCTCGGTTGCGCTGCTCAAGCTGAAAGCAGCTTCGTAAATTGTACCAAGTCGTTCCACCAAGAAGATCAAACCAATTGTTACAACTCCCACAAACACGGACAAAAACTGTAGGGAAGTTATATTTTGGTTACTTACGTTAAAATAATTCTAAAAAAATTTCTACGAGAAGTTTACAACCTTCATAATGTTAGCAGCTCGTTTATCTTTTTGAGGAGTTTCTGGAATCCATCGGTCAACGCAGGTATCGTAAATAGTAGCAGAGAGAGTGTTTAAGCTAGCACTCATTGTCGAAAGTCCTGAACTGACCAAGCCAGCTAGAAAAATTCCCGGCACGCCAGGTAGGTGTCCAGCGATGTCCATCACATAATGCGGCAAAATTTGATCATTTCGGCTTATTAACTGGAAAAAATCATTTTATATTCATTAAATCGAACTATTTCTATGTTTTTGAATTTTACAGCTTATCATGCGTCAAACGGGCTGAAAAATATGATTTCATAAAAAGCGCGAAAATTGATAAATTGCGAGTGTCGTACATTATTTTTTGATACTAGAAGAGTAAAAATTTTCTGTTTGATTATTTGCTGTTTCATTGGTGTAAAAAATGACATTACTCACTATTGTTAAAAAATATATTCAGTAGCTTCGTACTAGAATTTGGCCCTTTGCACATTATAATTATACAAACCTTAGAAGTTGAACTTTGCGTTTAAAGTGTACAGAAATTTATTGACTGAAAAGTTTTTTTGAAAACTTAAAATAGCCAGTTCTCAAAGCTTGAAAAAAAAAAATGTATCCAATCATTCACAAATTCCTTTCAGAGCTCATAATTAAAATTGCTATGAACTGACAGACATGTGTACAAAAAAATATATGTATAAAACTCAACGCAACTCACCGAGCCTGTCCTTCTCGTCGACGCTCTTCCTCCCGCTGTCGTCGTCCTCGTTGTTGTTGTCCTCATCCTCGACCCTGTTCCTCGGCTCCCACGTCATCTTGTTCTCCTTCTTGAGGCGCCTCCTCGCGTTGGCGAACCACGTCGAGACCTGCGTCAGCGTCATCTTCGTTATTATCGCCAGCATGCTCGATCACCCTAGAATTTCTGGCCGATTATTTAGTGTTTTTTAATAGAATAAGGTTTTTTCCCATTTCAAAATGTTTTTTTCACTACTTTTCTTTTTTAACAGTCCACAGATTTATAATCTCTTATTTTACTAATTGTCTATCACAAAGCATACTCGCATAAAGAATAAAAAATACCTGAGATTTTAATGGATCGCAATCGTGGTACTCGGCATACATCAACAGTCCCAGAAAGACGCAGCCAAGTTGAATGATTCCCCATCCAAATGATACGAGAAAAATCGCTCTAAGGTGGAGGAATTTTTTAAAAATAGAAGAGTAGTTTTTTTCTGATATTATGATTTGACTTACTTTTTCATATCTGATTTCTCTTTAAGGGCTAAAAATCGTTGAACAAACTTCTGCCCCAAACCCAAACGACTGAGCATAGAAGTTGTCAATCCAATAGATATAGCCCAGAATGTGTCTCTTCTTAGTAGACTTGGATTCATGCTGAAGTAAAAATATTTTAAGTTAATAAGAGGAATGTGATGAATATAAACCAGATGTCATCGAAGCAACTTTTTTTTATGTTAATCATAAACTTTATCATTTATATGTATTTTTGCTCAAATACAAGGTTAGTAGTGTTAACGCCTCTACATCATTCTAATGGCTGAATAATTTATAAGAAAAAACATCAAAATAGTTTTACGAAGTAGAAAAATAATAATTAAAGAATGAGACACATTTTTTTTCTTTTAAATTACACAAACAGTTCACAATCGCATAAAAATTCATAAACGGTGATTACAATTTTTTTGATACAAGTAACGGAACAAGTAACTAATAGCCGTTACTTTGATAACAACACTCGCTTTTCTATCGGAAATGAAAAATAAAAGTTATTCACACAATATACATATATCATCTTAACTGATAAAGCTGTTCTAATGTCTGCTAATCAATGGAAAAGATATTTATACCGAAAAAATAAGAAATTTTGTCAGTAAAATGTATTTAACAGCTACGTTAAATTTCTTGTCACGACAAATCATGGAAGGACCGTTGTCTTGTCCAGCTTTGTATATGCATGCATGAGTGAATCTTCAAGCTAAACACTTCAAAGATCCTGCATGTGGTTCAGCATAAAAAAATAATAATAAATCTTGAAAAACTTACTTAAAAAACTTAATGCGTTCACCTTGTTCGGCTATCCTCCATACTTGAAATACACCGCCTATCGAATACAATCCCAAAAATATGACAACTACGAAACCAGCCACTGTGAAAACAAACTGTACCATGTCCGTCCACACTACGGCTTTTACACCACCCTAGTTACGATAACCATGAAATTAAGTTAGTAACGTAACTGTTCTTTACATGATAGTCATAACAGTACTTACCAAACTAGTGTAAATGATGCACACTGTGCTAAAGATCGGTGTAAGTTCATGTACATTGAATCCGGTGACTTCCGAAAACGCCAAAGCCGGCACATAAAGGACGAAAGGGATGTACATCAACAGAGCTATGATGTAAAGGATCGAAGCTAATATTCGAGCCTTCCTTGAGAATCTCAGTTCCAAGTACTCGTAGCAGCTGGAAACTTGGAGGTCGAATAACACCGGCAGTGTCACGTATGTAGACAGCAAGCCTATTACAACGGCTGAAATTATCGTGGCGTAGTACTGACTGCCGAGTAAGTAGACTTCCGTTGGTACTCCGAGAAGCGTGATGCCTGATAGAAAACTGGAATATAATGATTTATTCGTTTTGTTCAAAGTATTTCATAAAGTAAATTTTTATCGAAGTTTTAGATACGTTACTGGATTTCTTTATTATACATCAATAAAAATTTTATTACCTCATGTCAATGTAACCATGACACTTTTATGTATGCCAATCGTTTTTGCAGTTATACGAATATCACAGAATATATGATAGTCGATCATGTGTTTTCCAAGTGCTTGGTACAAGTTTAAGATGGACAAGCATTTAACCCCAGTGTTTTACTATCGCAAATGAATTTGGCATTTTCAGAGGTTTTGATCAAGCCGGTAAAAATCGCCCAAGCCACCTTAATCATGATTCATCAAAACATTTTTCTCATTTAATTTTATTGACGCATTCGTTCCTTTGTAAATTATCGATGACGCATGCTCTCGTCTATTTTTTCATATTATTCATTTGTTAAGATACAGACAGTTTATCTTTTTTTATTTTTTTTTATTTTACTTGAGTAAAATGTCCTATCGTTTCTGGCTTTGTTAAGATTTAAAAGTATAAAAATCGTCAATTCAAAAAATTTCAATAAATTTTTCAAGAGCAGTGGAAGGACACTAAATGAAATTGTATGGCGTTAAGATAAACCTTTTTTACGTGCCCAACTTTTTGAAGATTGGTTGGTCCAGACAACAAAAGCATGGTAATATTTTTTATCCTCAAATTCAGAATAGTTAAAAATGTCAACGAAATAAGCTGTACAAGATAGTAACCAAAGAAATAAAGGGACTTCCAAATAAATAAGTACACAAATGAATGAATAAAAGACTTTTTGTATCCGTGCATTTAAATTATTTTTCGTAGTTGTTGTTCAACGGCTCATATTCGGTTACATTATTTTCAGATGTACTTTTATTATAAAATTTGACTTAAAAATTACCAGAGCTTTAAACTGATCAGTATACCAACATGTATCAATGAATTCATTTCATTAGTTTGCATCACTCAGAATATTTTGATTATCAATCTTGAAGAACACCGACGCTGTCCAATAGCTGAATATTACCTGACATCACATGTTTCAAAAGATAATTGTACAAGATTTAGCATGAATACTTTTGATGATGTAAAGATAACGTATTGCGAAAATGTATCCAACAATGTACCAAATCATAGATGAAAATTTCTTTCCACTTAATTTTAACGTATGTTGTTGTAACTTATTTCCGATTTAGTATTTAAAATTATGAGGTAGTAAAAAAAACCCAATCACAATATGCACTTATTAAAATTTTCTGTGAAAAATAAACACTTGTGGTGATTAATATAAATTATAGTTAAGATTCGATGCATTAGTGCACATTGTTTTATTTAAAAACCAACCAACCTTGCGAGTATACTCATGGCAACTGGAAAATAATTCATGGATTTTCCACCAAATAGGTATTCCGACTTGCTGTTTTGTTTGCTGAAAAATCCGAAGTAAACTCCGATCAAGAGACTGACTCCCAATAAACTTGAAAATATGGTGTAATCAATCCATCCAAAATCCTCATGATGTTTCAGCATTTTCACTTATATATGACGTACACTTGTGTTGAAATCTTAAACTCGTGACACTTCGTTTCATCAGTACGCCCGAGAAATCAGTGGGCGAGGTCAAGACGCCAAACTAATGACTGAGCGTAGGTGAATTGAAAAACGAAACTTTCATAAACGACACGATGTCAGAAGAAATAAGTAGGGATAGCACATACAGTAGCGTATAAAATGTAATATTGTTAAGTAAAAATTATTAATGATCATGACTATGTATTCTACTAACTAAAGTTTCTAATCAATGTAATTTCGACTATTAAATCATCTCTATGTTCGATAAGGCTGTTTTTAGTCATACTTTAGTTGTAATACACAAGTATAGAAAACTTTGTCATACGATATCGCCTTTTTTTATAAATTGTACAACTACTGTGCATACGTTGCAGTTGACTGCTTGATCTTTTAATGTTAAATAACTTGATTTTCCTGAAAAACTTGTTTCACAATCATTTAATGTTAACTTCATAAATCAAGAACTTTTTTTTAGTGTTTTTGCGTAACTATAACTTCTTTAGCTTATATATTATATGTCAGCGAGTAGTCATGATATATTATACCGTTAATTGAAATACATTCTTTTTGCTTACGTCCAAGATGATATTCAGTTCTAGTAGGTTTTATTAATGCCATTATTTTACTAATGTACCTCATTTTCTTGGCTTCTCATAGACTTGAAACAACCATTCTCAACTGTTGGGGCATAAGGTAAAGTAGGGTGCAACCGGACAATTTTGAGAAGGAAAAAGTAATATCTTTTGTTTACGACAAAACATCACATTATTACACAAAAAAATGGTTTTCTACTATTGAACAACCTTTTTTTTGTACTGATAGAAAAAAAATTCTTGTTTCCACTAAAAGATAATTAAATAATTGATTTTAAAATTTAACATCCTTTGCGATGAAAGTCGGACACCTATGACAAGGACCCATAGGAAAGGAGGCAGTAGTTAGACAAGGGGAAGCATTACTCGGACAGTAATGTTAATTAATCAAATGGGCATGCCACCTTGATGAGGTTATGTATGCTTTAAAGAAAGTTACGCTGCTTGTAACGTGATTGATATAGCATTAAAATAGCATTAGGCAATCACCAATTAAGAAAAAAAACTTTAAAAATGCAGTACACAATTCGCATCTTGCTTTTGATTCCACAAGAAGGTTAGTTGCATGACCATACGTCCGTGACAGCTTTCACAAGAAACACACAATTAATAAATAGTTTTTTTTTTAACTTTATAATGTAAAAAATAGGGTTACTTCGAACATTTTAAACAAAGTATAAATTATAATTAGTTTGAGGGACGGTCAATTTCGTTAGTCATCTTTAGTTTTCTCAATATCCATCGCTCAAATCATTAACCTATGGTTCGACTTTTTTTTATAACAGGGTGTAATAATTTATGGATTTATTTATTTAATTGGATACATTCATATGTTTTCCAAAAAAAGTTCTTATACTTCATATTACATTTACTCTCTTTTATAACTTTTGGGCTCCACAATTTGCTAATGCTCTCGGATTGCTCAAGTTAGTACTGTCCTGAAGAACTGGCGGTTCACCAGCTATTTTACAGAGGATCGTTTACTGCATACCGATTTTGGACACTTCCTAGAGGTTTTAGTATAGTTATTAACTTAAAAAAATTAATAACACTAGCAATAAATAAGCTTAAAGTTTTGTAAAATACGCTAGCTTTTTACTTCAGTTCAGGAGGATCCGCTAGGTGGCTTAGAAGTAAAATCGAGGCTATCTGCATTAGAATTAAGTAATATCCCCTTGCAAAATATCAAGTATCAAAGTCAATCACCGGCAGTGCATGAAGCATAGAGCTGAGAGTCGTGCAGCTGGGTGTCCTGGCTACCGTCGACACTGTTCTGTATTGGATTAGTGACTTAAGTCGAACTCCATCCTAAACTACCAAGATTGACGCGTGTCATGAATAAAAAGATGTTCAAAAAGCTAACGTCTCTGACGAAATACCAGGAGATGGATCTAGCCAGAGCACAATCTATTCTAGAAATTTAGGGTTTTATGGTCATTCTTACAACCGACCTGGGGCTACTAGAGTAGATTTTTCTACAACAGAAAACCAGTAAAAACACAATGGCCTCCTTCTCAGTGGTTCCTCCCAATGGCACACCCACAGAGAAGATAATCACCAAGTCCACTTCCGAGACCAAAGGTAAATAGCTGGTTATCCGGGGAACGACCCGAAGACTAAATTTTCTTCAGCCATTGCCGTACCTTCTTCCAGCTAGATCTCCATACGCAAAGACTCCAAGTATAAGAGTCAAGCTACCCACATGTCTAACTCTCCATTATCAAAAATAATAATAAGGAATGGCTGAAAGTATCACCACTGGCCCTTTTCAGGGCTATGATAAGTATTTACGTTCCCTAATTAGTCATAAATCTCATCAGTTCTTTTAACGGCCATCCAACATTAAACTACCTTTCCAACAAATACGTTTTTACCATCAATTTTGGTAACGATTCGTCAACTGAAAAACTCTATAAAGGCAGCCATTATTAAACCAAGTCAGTCATTCATTGGAAAACGTCACAAGCGGAGTTGTTTATCACATGGCTGGAAATCCCAGCCACTGACGACTCAACATTACCCTCTTGACTCTAAGCATTCAATCAGGAATCACCAATCTTCTCCAAGGTCTGCCCTGGGCGAACCTAACAGCTATGAAGGAAAAAAAAACTTGAGCCAACAGGAGTCTCCAACAGGCAAGCGTCACAAACCAATATTTCCACCTTAGATTACCAAAACAACTGAACTCTGTAAAAAAAAGGGTTTTAGACATGAACGTCTCCAGCGAAATACCAGAAGTGCTCTCTCGGCCTGGCGAGAAACTTTAAACTATTAAATTGATAATAATAATGTTCATAAGTATTGCAATAATTAACATTAAAAAGTCATTGATAATAATGAGAAAAGAACCTTCCCAGCTATTCCTAAGCTTTCCGAGAATTTGGGAATCGATTTTCTTTTGTTTCAGGCGTAAACAAACTTGGCCTTCAAAATACTAGGCCCTTAACGTAAACAAGTGGCCTACGTGACTAATGGCATGACTCATCCTAAACGCAAACAAGCCTGGCCTTCAAAATAACGGGCCTTTTGAGTAAACAAGTGGCTTGCGTGACTACCAGCATGACTCACCTCAACTAAAACAAGTTTGACCTTGAGTCTACGGCCACTCATACCTTTGAAGGGATTTTCAAAACCAGCAGTAAAAAAATTTTCAATCAACGGAATTCAAGGACAAATTAGGACAAACAAGTGGCCTGCGTGACTTTTGACACGGCTCGCAGGGTATAAAAGGCATTAGATTTTTCCACAGCAGTTAGTTGGAATTGAGATTCTGTTCCAGGCGGAGCTTACGACGCTCTATTTTGGAGCCCCCTTCTAAAAACCTATGGCGAGTATTTCATCTGTAGTTGTTTCGTGGTCGATTAGGGTAGTTCAAGTAAGGAATCGCTTTCCTAAGTGTCTTTCAATATACCTGGACGTCGCGTCGCTTCCTGGGACAAACTCGCTCTTCACCTCATTGGGACTCTACTCATTGGAATCACCGAGAATGAGAGTAACCAAGGACCGACTTTCCCAGGATTCAATTGACCTGGCACGTTAGGGCCTAACCAGTTAACGGACTCACTACCCAGAACAAAATAGACGACGGACAGCGCCATTTACATCTCCGTAGTCTATGACCGTGAGCCAAATCATAACAATGCTAAGGTATCCCAACATTCACGTTTGCGGGAAACTTCAGTCAAGAAAGAGTTTACTTAAGAAGCTCACCGATCCTTTTCAGGGTCATCGGACGTCGAACTACCTTACCAAGAAATATATTACAACCTAATAAAGTTAAAATAAATTGCCTTTAGGACTCAGAAGAGTCTCAACTATGCCAAAAGTCACAAGAAGTCAAATAGGAAGGAAAACTTCAAATGCATCTTATGAATACAATTTTAGGCGTCAAGAAAATGACGAAAGAATTTATTAAATGAGAGATCAGCTTTTCACTATAATCCTCATAGTAATCTCTTGAATCTTCCAGATTTTTAAATAGGTGGAATATGTATTAGTACTTTTGTAGCGATAAAAATGTGGAGATTGAGCTTCAGAACTTTTTTGCTCCGGTTTAAAGTTGTAAGGTACGAGACAAAATTTTTTAATTATATATTTTTGTGAGCTCTGAATCTTTACAGCTTTAAAAAATAGCCTTGTTCATAGATTATACGGGAGGAACCGCAAATCAACGGCCTTTTAAGGCTGACGATTATGGCATAAGGAATGCATGGTACTTTTCAGCATAATTATATTTTTTTCACTTTTTACAGCTTTTTATTTGACCAAATAAACTGTATGCATTCCGAATAAACATATTTTTAATAAGAAGATCTTTGTTCTGAGAAGTGTCAGAAATAGATGTAAAATATTTAACTGAAAACGTTTCACATTACATGTCAACTAACACTACGAAGTTCCATTTAGTGAGTCTCGGGTGAAGCCGTGACGGGGAGGGAGGGCATTAATATATGTATAAACATACATATCACCATTTACTGAAATATCAATTCATATATACAGCAGCTCTTTAAAGAGCAGAGCTTTCTAGCCTAAGTACTGGACTTGGGCATAATTTACAATTGATAGTTGCTTCGGTGTACGTAAGAGTTTGAAAGGTAGCTACGTTTAAGGCACAGTCAGATATAACATCTATGTTGTATACATCCGAGCTTACCGGGTAGCCGATTGTAGGGTGTGTCAGTTTGAATTTAAACTGATGGTTATACATTTGAAGGTTGTTTGTCACTTACAACCCGTTGAACGAAATAATTGTTTTCCTAAATGAGTTTGCACTGATACGTACCACAGCAATACAGCTTATGATTTCTATGGAATTGTTTACTGCGTGTACCTCACTGTACCTGTCTTTCTTCTTAAGAAACTTCATTGCGCAAAGTGGCTTGAAATTTGTTTAAAAAGTTCAAAAGCCAGCTTTTCATGATGTTGAACTCAAATTTATCACTTTAAATAATATTTATCACTTCATGCATGAACACTTAACAACTACGTCATGAAAATGCTTAATTTAAAAGGAGCCCAAAATTTTCCAAAAATCTTAGTTTCAAAATTATGGTTTTTATCACGTATGATGAAATAAATTTTGCCATGGGAAGTGCTAATAATAGGATAACAATAAGGTGACAAAAAAATAAGGAAGTGTCTAGGAAAGTCATGTTTCAAAAATTAGTTTGAATATTATTTATAACGGATCTCAAGCAATTTTTCAAATTCCCAGCATTCAACTTACAAAAAAATTCTTCGGAATATTTTTAAAGTATACAATATTTTACTTCTTATTTCTTTTAATTTATTCAAAACTCTTGTCCAATGTAAGAGTTGTAAGTAAAAAAAAAAGTTGAGAAATAGTTGTATTTTACCAATCACGTGTATTACATTTGTTTCATGATAATCTTCAAAATAATGTTCTTTTAATATTCACAGCATAACTTTTTCTGGTATAATATCTTTTAATGGTACAGTTACATAATTTTTTTTCGGCAAAAACCTGAAATGTTACAGTATGCACGATAAAAGTAAAACCACAATTACAGTTATTGTATGAATAAATATTTCAAACAAGTATTAAATAGTAGTTTTTGTCACTAGTGCGCATATCTCTTAGAGCAATCATCAGTGGTTAACAGTATTTTTCTTACATATGCCACAGTAAACGCAAATATGTTAAAGGAAAACGTTTAAGGACAAAAAAATTTACAAACCTTTTAACAAACGGGACGACATGTCGGGGATCAATTTTCTGCAGATCCGTTTCTCCAGCAACCCAACTTGCAATTAGGCTAATGATTACTGTGATGGTCATGCCCACAAATATCAGATACAAAAAGGATAGTCTAAAGATCAGCCACGGCTCGTCCTCGGGTGCCAGAGGCTTCGAAGTCACTGACGTTACAGTTTCATTCAGTGGATAAGGACATCCTTCGGTTGAAGTTGGCAAGACTGAATGATGTATACGCTTATTAATTATGTGCCACTGAGTACCACCAACGATCCAAGCCATAATGGTAAGACCGACACTCCCACCAATGATGGCACCTTTTGTTCCTACCCACGGGAAGAACATGCCAGCGACAAACAGACCAAGCAGAGGTCCGTCTACAATTGTACTCAGACTATTTGCAATTTCAAAGATGGTGCCAAGATGCTCGATTACAAAAATCAGGGCGATTGTTATTGCACCAATCAGTACAGAGATCCACTGTTCAATTTTCGTGATCAATAGGATATACGTGGTTTTTTTGTTTTCTTATCTTTTAATGTATACATACCTTCATTATACAAGCAGCTGTAGCATCTTTCTTTGACGTTTCTGGAATCCACCGATCTACGAAATTTTCGTAAATAATACCAGAGAGACTGTTCAGACTTGCACTCATCGTGGACAATGCTGAACTGACTAAGCCAGCCAGAAAAATTCCTGGTAGTCCGTGAATGTTTCGAGCTACGTCCATTACGTAATAGGGTAAAGTTTGATCGTTTCGGTGAACTAGCTGCAAGTAATTAGAAGCTGTTATTAAATACATTTTTATAGTTTTTTGATAGAAAAGAGAAATACCTTAGCACTTAGAGGATCGCAGCTATGATATTTTGCATAAACTATGAGACCAGTTAAAATACAGCTTGTTAGTAATACCTGCCAGCCAAACATCATTAAGTAAACAGCTCTGAAATAATTAAATAAATTATTGTGTCATGTTGTTATTTTAATAAACTTACTATTTTTCTTTATTTTTACTTTTTAATATCAGCCTTTTTTTCAATGGATAGAAATCTTTGAATGAATTTCTGACCAATCCCGATACGACTCAGGTGACCGAAAAGCATTCCAAATGTCAATCCCATAAATGTATTTCTTCCGAATGGACTCATATTTGAGCTAAATCATGAACATATTTTCATCACAGATATTTTATTTAAAAACCGCATACCACTTAAAAATCTTACTCAAAAATGTCAAGTCTTCCTCCTTCATTAACTATATTATAGATGTTAGAAAAACCACCAAGACCATATATTCCAATAATAAGTACGGTAAATAAGCTGCCAATAGTGAAAAAAAACTGGATTGTATCTGTCCAAATAACTGCTTTAACTCCACCCTAATTAACAAAAAGACGTTATTTCTCTTTCAATAGTCACAACTTTCGATTTATGGCACTAAATAGCACAAAACTTTGTTTACTCGATAGGGTTTGTTTCCAGCTTTTATTAAAGCTTTATCGTTTGAGTTAGTTGCGGCGGAATTACGCATGTATGATAAAAATCGTTTTCATATAATAAAATCAAGTTAACTAATAAACAAAAAATAAGTATTCAAATTATAAATAAGTAGTGGATCACAATATATTAGGAAGTGAGAGTGCTTTTTCTTAAAGATGGCTCGTGGCTAAGGGGATACGGTATATACATAGCTCACGTGCACAAGGTAGTCGGTTGTAACACTAGTAAGATTATTTTTTTTAGAAAATTTTGGGGGTGGGTTGGTAAAATGATAACTTCTTTTTAGTTAAATATTTTTTCAAGGTAAAATTTTTTAATCGTTGGTTTATATTAGCGGAAAAGTACCCATAAAAATATAATTTCTAAAAATCATAATTAGTTCTTAATCAATTAATCTAAAAACTCCCGAGCCGATCATAATCATTTATATCTACATAAAAAATTATTTTACAACATACAAGGATCACGAAAAGTTGAACAAAACTTATCATTTTAATTTTCAATTATGTTTGTATGTAGAGCATTTTTTAAATTAATATCAATAGTTGTGATTGTTCCATAATTTTATTTTTTATTCAAATATTTTTAATTCTACTAAAATTATCATTCTTACCATAGTTGTATAAGTGATGCAAACAATACTAAACACTGGCGTTATTGTGTGGATTCCATAGCCCGTGACTTGTGAAAAAGCAAGTGCTGGAACGTACATAACTACTGGAATGTACAATAATAACGATACGATGTACAAAGTTGATGCCAACATTCGGATGGATCTAGAAAACCTTAGCTGCAAATACTCGTAGCTACTAGAGAGTTTGAGATCATAAAATAAGGGTATTATCACGTGAGCTATTATTAGGCAACAGAGAAAGTTTGGAATAAGAGTAACGATGAATTGCGCCCCATGAAAATACACCTCTGTGGGTATTCCCAAAAATGTTATACCTGACAACATGCTAAAAAAATATACATATACATAAATTATATACTAGTAGTAAGCACAAGTTAAAAAAATTAAATAACATAAGACCCAAAAAATACCTTGCTAAAATACTCGTAAAGACAGGAATGTACGACATGTGTTTTCCACCAAACAAATATTTAGATGCACTATCTTGTTTGCTGAAAAAACCAAAGTAAAATCCTACTAAAAGGCTGATGCCAAGTAAGCCACTAAATAGTAGATAGTCCGTCCACCCAAACGTCAATTGCAGCATACTGTTGCCAAACGTAGGCAATGAAGTACTCATTGTTGTATCCATTTTCTTCTTTTCTTTATTTTCAAACTTGTGATAAGTATTTTAAACTGCACAGTTTAAAGAAACGCTCATTTTTATAGCTGCTTCCATGCAACGAGTTATTTTCATTGGGGGTATACAGTAAAATCAAAACTGTAATCTGAAACATTTATCAAAATATTGCAACTACACTTGGCATTAAATTAGCGTCTGCAGTTAAACTTATGGGTTTTTGTATGAAAAATAATTTGTATTTTGAAACGTTTCCGTCTACTTTAACATTCACTTAATAAGTAACTGTAGTAGAAAGTTGCAGGGATCGGATGTTTTAATCTTTATCAAAGATTGATTCTAGCGATACCATATATTCTTTTGATACGTACGGCGCTTATCACTGCTATTATTTGATATTCTTAACTTTTATAACTAGATACTGTTTGTGTACTGATATGAAATTTTTAAAAGTGAAAAAAGAGTTTTGACGAAAATAATAAACGATTTTTTAATTTTAAATTGATATTCTATAATCGTTAGAAAAAAAATATTGCAGAATAAGTACATTTTACTGATAAAACTTATATTTAATAATTCTTAATATGAAGTGACTAATCTCATATAATAAACATCTCATATTTCACTACGTGTAATATGGACACCAAAAGTATAGAAATCGAATTTTATCCTTATTTTAACACCAACGATTGGGTATTTTTTTTCTAACGCTCCTAATTTTTTATAGAATTGGTTTACTATCTTTTACAATGATTTTGAATGCAAATAAATTTAATCAAGGACTTTTTTTGGGTAAAACCATTTTTAATAAATTTTAATTTGTCTCTTGTAATCTGTCACACACACTACGTAAGTGATTTTTACGGCCATCCCTTACCATCTCCGTGTGGAGGGTGTTGATTCTAATACTGAATGATAAGCCCTTATCCAATGTTTGGTTTACCCCGTATAATAATTCATAATCCTTTTTTCAACTTCTTCAACTTATTCATTGAATATCTCTTTTCCACCCCGACCCATCTTAAACTAGTCCTGCACCTTGTCACACAATCTCCGTTTGTGTCCAAAAAACATAATTACATCACATGTTTTGCTTTCGTTAATAGTCGATGAATTATAACTTAATGTGTCTAAGGAAGATCCGTATATTGGTTAACTTAGAGAAGATAGTAAATTTAATTTTGCAGACGTATCTTACATAAATTGAAGAAGATTAAAATAAAATTAATTTTAGTTAAACCTCGTTTACTTCTACATGTTTTTCTGAGTAATGAAATCATTAATTCAGGATACATGCATCTTCCAAATTTCATAAAAGTAAAGTACGTGATTTGCTTTCTTTGATAGTTACTGTATTTTTATTTAATGTGTTTTTACCTGGGTAAAAAAGATCCATGATTTAAATAACTTACAGAGTTTAATATATTTAATTCTAAGTCATGAAACTATTCCTTGTAATTTGGAAAATTTGTTATGCACCCTAACATGCTCTTTTGTTAAGCCGTATAACCCATAAGACCATCAAAAAATGAATTGATTTTGTGATGAACTTAGTATAGGTACATATTTCCAGATAATTTATAGTACTTATTATAAAATAATCTTCTTTGTTACGGACGAAATTATTATTCGGTTCAATGTCATTGCAGTATTTATAGTGCTGTTTTATCGGAATCAGTGCATATCTTATCAATAAGGTGCTTTTATATCATCATTATATCAATAAAAAAACTTTTGATCGTATTAAATGCGTGAATCAAGATGCAATCTCTGTTTAAGAGATAGCCTGTTAGATTTATGGATTCTCGTATTTTACTTATGACAAGATACAATTATTACATGCATACGGATATACTCATATACGTACACACATACGAGCAAAGACTTTTTTTAAAGATATGTCAAAATCATGTATCATAATATTAATCAATTATTATGGATACTCGTGTTCCAAAGATTTATTTTGGTCTTGACAAAACTTGTTTTAAAAGGCATCATTATTTCTTACGACCAATTAGTCAAGGTATCAAAGAATAATAGTTTAGTAATATATGAAATGTGTATTTTTAGTAACTACTCAGTTTTTGCATAACTAGTATTGTACAAAGTCTTAAAGCTGAAGGTTAATTAATACACTATGGAAAATGTTGCTAAAGAATTTAAATAAGGTGTCTAATTATAATAATGAGAAGCTCAAAAAAAGTGGGTTATGTTTTACGTTGTGAAATAAGTAATTTTCTTTCTAAAATCAAACATCGTTACAGAGTTTCTTAGCTTTCAATTAACTTTACACATAAATTTTTATTGAAAACTTTTATCCGATAATTATTAGTAAATACTTAATTTGTTTGCGTTAGTATAAATATAATAATTTTATTTTTCATACATTTTTATACATATTAATTTTATTTTTTATATACATCTTTTGGGTTGCAGCGCGGCTGTCAAAAAAAATGTTGAAATCTGTCAAAACTAGATTTTGCAATTTACCGTAGAACTACGTGTCTGACGGCAAAAATTGTTGTATTTAAAAAAAACTGCAATAAAAAGACGAACACAATGAGTTTTGGTAAATCCCGATCCGTTCAGTAGGTTATGTGCAAATTGTAAAAAACCGCGTTTTTAGGCCATTTTTTCAAAATCTAATAATTCGCGTTCACAGCACTGTTTTTGAAAGATTTAGAGAGAAGCCAGTGTGACCTACGTTCGACGTGATAACGACAATGAGTTTAAACATTTTTGGAGCCGATTGTAGTGGAATTGGGCTTATAGCGGCCGAATGGGCTCCGCGCCGCCGCGCCGCCGTCAGAAACTCAGTGTTTTTGTAATACACATTTTCGATACTTGCACTCATTCGGATTTGATTAATTTTTGAGGTACTGTTAAATAATTTTAGACAAATAAGAACGTGTTTAAAAAATGTCTTTAAGTTTGCTATAAACTATTTTATTAGTAGAAAAAATTATTATGATCATCTGCACTCAATCAAAAATACTCCATAACAAAAATTTATAAATTTATTTATGATTCATGAATAGATCTATTTACTTTCAACTTAACAGGTTTTTCATTACTGTTTCTTTTTCAAGGCAACTAATGCAACAACTTGGATAATAATTATTATACAAGAAACAAGAAACGTATGTACGTATTATTGATATACTGTTCCAATGACACTTCTTACTTTAATCATAAAAATATTATTTGAGTGATGCCAAGGAAGTAACAGCTTCGAATGTAGAAAAAAAGGAAGAAAAAGAAAGAAACATTAAACGAGTGCTAAGAGTGCATAACTTTAAAAAATTAGTATCAGTCTTTGCATGTAACTTTGTGGATATTAAGTATGTCTGATGCTAAAAATATATTAGAATTTTTAAAACAATGTTACTGAAATAAATACTTACAAAAATATTTGTGGGTGGGTGTTGGTATGTTACAGATATAAGTATCTAATTTATTGTATCTCAGTATTTTCGCGACTGATTTAAATTAACCTTGGCTTTTTTTTTAGTTTCTGAATGTCTAAAACAACTTATAAAAAAATCTTATTTCATCAATCAGATGTTTTTTTTGGTTTTATTGTTTATAGTACACTAATTTTTTTTATAAATTTGTTTTTTTGGATTTTTGGTTATTTTTCATAAATGAAATCATTTTCCAATTATTTAATGTACATGTACAATGACTTATATCTCCGACAGCCCTTGGCTGATGCACATAAATTTAAACCAATTTTTTATATTTTCTATTACAGACGCCTCAGATAATAGAAGAACAATTTCTTGTGTCACCAATTGGGTTTCTTAAATTATTTTAATTTTATGGGCTTAAAAAATAATTATTTTTGAAAAAAAATGTATGTTTTTGCATTAATTCATTATCTTCGTACATTTAATCTGAAACAATCGAAAAGATCATTCATTTATT